TGATTCAAACCTATTCATCTCGCATCCTTAAAACACAATGTTCGAATTAACCGAGACACAAAGGAAAATTTAGGACCTCTGTTCGCAAACTCAAAAAAAATCCATACAGGTAAAGTAGGAATTTAATTTGTATATTCACTTTATTTTTTTAAAAAAAAAACTGATTCCTTTTTGTTTTAGTAATCAAATTATGCACGCTGAACAAATGTCCGAGATCCCCTTCGATCTAGAAGAAAATTGGTATGTTGTGGTATGTCCAATCGGTAAACGTTGTATCGTTATATCGGCAAAAGGTGTGTAAAATTATATATTAACCCATAATTTTACCGATAATTATAAATTATTTTTTAATTATTTTTTTAATTATTTTTGAAATAAGGAAAAACTGTCAGTCGATTGCGAAATGGTAAATGATCATTTATAAAATTTTAATTGTAAATATTATTTTTTCCGAGTACTCGTTTAATTCGAACATTGTGTTTTAAGGATGCGAGATGAATAGGTTTGAATCACCTCTACCTGCAGGTTCTAGTTCTTATAAAGGAAACAAAACAACCGATTATTGTATTCTGGACTGCATTTACGACCAAACAACATTCACTTATTATGTGTTAGATATGATGTGCTGGAAGGGACACCCAATTTATGATTGTGATACAGAGTTTAGGTTAGGCTTACATATTAAGAGTTTTAGGTAAATATTATAATTCTAACATTTTGTTATATTCATTAGATTATATTGGCTAAATACAAAACTCGCTGAAATGGATGCTCCATCCCAGAACACATCAACTTATACATTTACTCCACTCACCGCTTATACTTGTGACATTGAACAACTCTCTTCATTGATCCCAATTCCTGATACTTTTGGTTTCCGTCCTGACGGATTATTATTCTTCAACAAACATACACAATATGTTCTTGGAGACACTCCTCTCTGTGGTTGGGTGGGTGTTGAAAATGTTGAAGAAATTTTCGGATCCTTTTTCCAGCAAGAATAAAGGTGCAGACATTTTGTGGCGATACTACCTCAATTACGTTACAGCTGTTATATTACCATCGCAACCAATGATATATTGTCGTTGGTTGCAGTATGTAACGTATGTTGTTATAAATGACTAAGGTAGTAATGACCAGCGTAGGTTATAACAAATATCGTAGGTTATTATTCTTGTCATATTTATATACTAGCACATTGGAGGATTGATTTGGACATTATGTGATCTAGTGTATCACAAAATATTTTAAAAAATAATATAATAAAATGATTATATATGTACATACGTATGTACGTACCATAACCCATATTTAACGATGTATAGAAAAAAAAAAAAAAAAGAATTATACTAATCTTCCATAAATTCTTCAGTTAAAAATTGATCTACTAAATCTTCAGGTGAATAATCCGAGTTTCCAGAGTCGGTTGACATGCTAGCATTATAAATACCCCTTGTTCATTCTCAAAGTAATATTGCGATAAATTATCTCACTAAATATCTCACCAACTGTCGAAATGTTGACAGACTCACATAATTCAACTTCCGTAAGTTCTTCACAGTTGCTTAACTCGGATTTATGTTAGTAATATAATGATTCAACTTTAGCAATATCTTTCAATTCCTCACTACTTAACCACGCTTGTCGCTGATAATCCATCTTAAGATAGAAATTTTTTTTTTCACAACTCGCTTGTGATGAAATAGAAAAAAGTCGACACGTCAACTCAGCTAAATGTCAAGATTTAGATTGATCGACCAAATTACAGCTTTAGTAGTAAAATTGTAACTTCAAATCACTTCCAAGCAAGAACAACAGAT